TAGTTCAGTCAGATGGCATCTATTGATTCTGTGTGCTTGATTCATATTTGCATAGCCTTGACTTCATGCTCAATTTGTTCTTTGAAAGACGGAACTATGTATCTTTATGGCTTCTTAAGTAATAAATATGATAATAGTTTAAAAGAAACACTACTTTTGAAAATGACAAAAAATAGCGATATTTGTGTTAAGTATCTAAACGAAAATAATATAATTCTATTACCAAGTACTAATGGAAATATATTTCTAGATCCGTGGTGCATTCATCAGCATTAAACTAAAATCCTTAACTTCTACAAATGTCGTATTTGACAGGTCTTAAGTAGATGTCCCTAACAGCTCTATGGTTACGCATCACTATTAGTAAACCTTCTTTTCCAAGTAACTCAAGAAGAAAAAGCTTTCCGCAGTATGGTTAGCCGGGAAGTGTCAACTGCCCTCATAACTCTGTCAACGCTCAAATTCTTTCAGGTTATAGTCAACCGTCAATGTGTTCATCTTCTAATTTTTTCTTCACCTCTCTTGATCAATATTCCTACATCATCTTTAGATTCTTCCAGATCTGTAGCTCTTGACAACGATCTGAGTTCACAGGACAGCATCACTGGCCTTCTGAAACTACACATTAGGGCTTTCAGTGCCAGCATCTTCCGTCAAATCGGCCAACAAGCTTCGCTATTCATCTTGGGTCATGAACGTGTGGTGCGTTCTTGTGGCACTCATACAGGAATCAAGTATAATTATTCACTCAGCCTCAGCTGATCAGTGTAGTTCTAAAATCACCCTTCTAGTTTCTGGAGATTCGATGGCTGGTTCACACGGTCTTGCATCTGTAGGTATAATATAAGGTACTAGGGCAGAATATGCACTGCTCGATTGGATCCCAGTGAACAGTCCCCTATGAACTGTTCGACTAAATATCACAATAATGACTAAGAAGAATAATGAAACTTGTCGCAGGTGATTTCAATGTATAAGTGAATAAGCTAAATCAGGCAGAGAGATACTTAGGTGACACTTTCAAAAATCCTGCCGAATGAACAGATAACGGTGATCATCTGCTTCAACTGTACTAAGACTACCACTTATTTCTGACCAACACGAACTTCGTTATAAAAAGATATCGTCTGACATGGCATCCACCGAACTGAATTCATCGATCAACAGAGGTAGACTGTATTACTTGCTATCAACTATCGCTGGAGAGGATGGGCGGAAGATTGCTGCTCTTTTTGGACTGCATGTTTAAACAGCGATCATACATTGGCTTGGGAACATGTATGTTTGCCCCGAAATTGACGTAGGAGAACAACTGCAACAAGACCTGTGAGAGTGCAGCTCGATAATAAGATCATCAAAACTGCTTTCAGTGAGTTACTGACTACACGATTGTTGGTATAGAACAACATCATGCATGACGAGAAAGCCTGATGTCATCTCCTGTCGGCTTAAAAAACATCGTTGAAGACCATAGCCAACTATCAAAGAGTGGCTGATATATCCTTGGTTATATGTATGCGGAAGTGAACACCTGAACGATAACCTTCATATTCCACCTCTGATGGTCGCTCAGTTCCTCGATAAATGAGAAAGGTGGTAAGATAACCGGTTTACTGCAACGTCAAAATATGTACAAAATACAACCGTGTGTATATAGTTGGCAATGGCCTTGACTATTTCTAGGCCATTCTAGAATTGTATATTCTATTGATTTTTGTCTTTGAGGCAGCATGATTGGTTGTGAAAGGCTTCAGGGATTTGGGGTTTCTTATGCAGATCTGGATAACCTTATCGCACACAATAATACGAGCGGCTAGAAGATCTCAGTAGCTTCTTCTGAATTAATGGACGCGCGCGAATACCTATCTGTAACCTTGAGGTAATTGATACCCCCTTTGAGATTTCAAACCCACTCCATCCAGTTTTTCATTCAGAGCTATTTCGACCGCGATACGACCTCCTGTAGGACTTTATTCGATACACTGATTGGTCACTGGTGAGTTACCAATTTCTTATTATCTAGTCCTAAATAATGACTGGTTTCAGTGTGGTCATCAAGCTAGGAGACTCCCCATCACGGTGTACTTCAACTGATGTTAGAACTGCACAAAGTGAAATTACTTACTTAGTTTTCACCAATAAATCTATGTATTCCAGTCTTACAGGGGTTTAGTCGCTACCGAAATAGCGACCGCAGTTCGCGGGTCAAAATCTCAGGGGGTTTCATCTCCCTTGAGGTTGCAGATATGCGTTGCTGGCGAGTGCCAACAAGCACGAAACCTACGTCAATCAGTGGGGCTTTCTATCGATTGCCTCCAACCAATTAACATTTATCCAATTGCAGTGCAATAGTGAACCTCCTAGTTTGGTGATCATATTGAAAAATGATCGGTTGAATCTGTCCGAGCTTAAGATCAGACAACATGAAATTGGTCACCCACTGGTGACCTGTGAATGAGTGTATTTACGCCTCTTTTATTCTGTCACTTACTTTCTCAAAAGTATTCGGCACAACTGATTTAAAAATTGAAAATCTTCATCTTTCTGTATACTCCAGCTAAAAAGTGTATGAGTTTTCCGACTAGGGACTGAACTTAGAACCTTCGGGTTTCACGGCGAACGCGTTAACCATTTAGTCATTGGGTTGGAATTCATTGATCCACTATTTCCTACTTCCGTCTGTATATAGTGCTCACTAGTGACATGCTTCCAGATGGATATTCCGAAGTTCTAATGAGGAGTCGTGACCTGTGGGGTCAACTAGTCGGAAGTGTAGCCAACTGAAAACCTTGAGTGATAGTCGCGCTATATCGTGAATTGACAGAAGTTAGAAATTGTGAACCATTGAACTCTGATCCAGTGGCTGAATGGTTAACGCGTCCGCCGTGAAACCTGAGGGTCTTTAATTCGACCCCTACCCGGCTCGTAAGTGCACACTCCTGAGGAGCACAGCTATTTAGTGCTAGACATTCTATATCACTGTGTGTATAGGCTTTCATCCAGTGGCGTAAAGTGATATGAATATTTTGAAGCTTTTTGTGAACAGTACAATTTGATTTTGATTGGTTTGCAACTTACATCATTGTTGTTTCCATGTAGTAAGTTGTTTATGCCTTCATTATATCATATATTGACAGCAATGAATATGGATCTAAGTAGTATTCATCACCGACTGACATCTGTCAGAGGACTATTGAAAACCTGAGATCACTGGACAGCTATTTTTCTCTAGTAGTACGCACTCATGACCCTGCCGGGGTTCGAACTCATGACCTTCAGGCCCCCTGGCGAGCCCATTCAGCCACTGGATTACAGTTTCCTACTTCTGTCAATTCACGACACAGCGCCCATATTACTTTGGTGTGTACTACCGAGCAACATGAGTAGTTGAAAAACAGATAAAACGATTCATCTTTAATACTAACTAGCCATATCGAGGTTATCTGAACATTGGGTAACTGATCATGTTGATTAGTAGTTCATATTTAACAGATGTTTACTCACATTCTTGAATTTATTGTTAGTATCATGTGAAACATACACATTATGGTTTAAACACTATGGTTTCTAAGTCGACTGAGATGGTTGGGACATGTGCTACGTTGCGAAGTTGCCGTCTGCCTCGTCACACAATGTTGGCCGAAGTAGGTCCAGGCTGGAAAAAGGCCTGAGGTGGCCAGACTAAAACATGGCATCAATGTATGAAGTCTTTGGCTGTTGGTTTGAGCCATATGGGGCAATGCAGACTGAGTGGTTGGGGTCTGTGGGACAAGAGGAACCAGTGGTTAGAGACTGTATGTGTTGTGTTGATGTGGCTGAGAAGCGATGTGAGTGGCGCAGATACATACACACATTATCCACATCTTAACGATGCTATACCGAATCTCACCATTTTCTCATTCTTCCTTTCTCTCTTTTAGTACTTCACGGTTCTCTTGACTGAGTTTTCTTTTCTCCATCTTCTACTTCATTGTCTTGTTGCTTGATGTGGTGATTTGAGGTGGTGTTGCATCTCGGTCCGTTACGCAGTAATGCCTGATCCTATATTGATTTGGATGGGTGGGTGGTTTCTAGGGCGAATGAAAATGGATATTGTGTAATTGAATTATTGCATTTAGTTATTTTGTTTTCACTAGGAGTTGAAAACTTTGCCAAGATATCCTATTCATTGAGAAATGATATCAATTTTTTCATATTTATTGTCAACAATAGAAAATTACACACGACGATAACAATTTTTATCCTCTGTATAGTAGATGGATATCACATACTAGTGACCTGGTGTATACAGTCCTTTGTAGTTTAAATCATTGGTTGCGCTGGTTTTGATTCCGTATGAGTATATGATGAACACTAACTTTCGAGACAGTTAGATCAAAATGATGAGTCCTGTGTAAGAGAAACTTCGTTCCCATTGCTAGTCATCGACCAACAATAGCATATTTTATATAATTCTAATCATAGGGTAGTATTGATCATGGACTGACATCATTTGAAGAACCATTGAAAAAGTGGAAGCATTAGACAGTAACTGAATGCTGAACGCGTTCGCCGTGAGACCTGAAGGTCTTAGGTTCGAACCCTAGCAGGGTCATAGGTGCGTGCTGCTGAAGAATCTCGTACTAGGACGAAACAGCTGCCCAGTGCTCCCAAGTTTTTAATGGTTCTCTAACTGATGTCGGTCCATGATGAATATTACCTTAAAATAAATTTAACTATGACCCTTCATCTAGTAGTCATATGCGAGAGCTCTACGTATTCACTGTCTTTTATCATCATCCAGTTATCTTCCACCAATTAATGATCATCAATATTTTTGTTTCTGTTTGTTCATTCACTTTCTCTTGTTTAGTAAAAGTAGACAGAGAGAGATTAAGGGGGGAAAGTTTCAATTTTTAAAGGATTCCATCATGTTTACTTTGTTTTTGTTGATGTTTTCCCTAAATTCTGTCCAAGTTTTTTTTTTGTTACCAAGATTAATTTGTTTTTGTTTTGCCTAGTCTGAAATCGGCTTTGGAAAACTTGAATCTTATGCGAAATTGGATCTATTGGGTCAAGTGAGTTGATTATCATCATTCATTTTAAAAAAAATTCATGATTAACTATTATTGCATAATGTATTTTTGAGATGAATGGGGATTTTTTAAATTTAGAGTCGCTATATCGTGAATTGACAAGAGTTAAATATTGTGAATCACTGGAAGCTGGCCTGGTGGTTTAATGGTTGACGCGTTCGCCATGAAACATGGAGGTCTTGAGTTCGATCCCTGATGGGGTCATGGGTGTGTACTGTTGAAGAGTCCCATACTAGGACAAAATGGCTATCCAGTGTTCCCAGATTTTCAATAGTTCCCTGAATTATGTTAGTCCATGATGAATACTACCTCTATATTTATTGTATAAGTTGTCATTTGTTTTAATCTCTATTATGGTGGCAGTTTATTCTAAAGGTCAAAACTTACGGTCACTAAACAATGTAGATAGTCGTAAAAAGCATACAAATTGTGGGCGTGTAGTTAATCACTTTAATTGCTTGACTTTCAGCTGAGAGGTATGAGTTTTAAGTCCCATTTTACCTAGTTTGACCTAAGCAGCTAGACAATGACTTAAACCATCAAATAGTAAGTGTAATTTATGACTTTTGTATGCAAACATCTGAGCACTGACATCGATTCTGAGCCTTATGACCTTGAGCCTCCAACCCCTGATTTCTACTGTCCTGTAGGCCCCAACTGACTAGTCTGTATCGCCTTACTGATGCTGTATTTTAATCTGACCGCTCTAAGCCTTTTTCCAGGCTGAACTTACCTCATCTGACATTGTATGATGAGGTATGCGTAACACATGTCCTAGCCATCACAGTCAATAAAGGTTCCATGTCCAACCCCCTATACCGTTTGCTTTGATTATTCCCATTACCTGTTAGTGATGTTTCAGAAAATATTCTTCTGTTATACATTGGGTGATGATTTTACGCAACAGTGTAACCCTTTTGTTATTGTAGTGTAATTGTAATTATCTATTGAAAAAAGTCGATATGTTAACTGGATCATTTGCAAATAGTTTAAAAAACATGGCACGAATTTTTATTATATGCTATCCTTTCCTTTGGTTTTGCTACATTTTTCTTCATTCATATTTTCTTTGACTGAACAGATTTATTTCTTTGTTCCTTTCTTTTTTTACTATTATCCTTTTTGGGTTCCATGTGTACTTGAAAACGTTTTCATTTTATATATATTTCAATATAGAATTTATTGTATACTACATCATGTAAAGTCATTATTACATACGGCTGGTTTGCTTTGCTTCCTACCTATTTAATCATCATAACCTTCATTAATTTAGAAAATGTATATATTTATAAACCTTTTTATACTTAGTATTAAATAGAAATACCTTTAAACACAATTTCTTAATATGTCCTATATTCATGTCATTTATTAGTTGCATGAATACTTTCGAGCGACTTCATGGGCTATCCTAACAATTCCTGGATTAGCCAGTCAGTTTTCAGTATTTCGGCTAGGATGATTATTAATTTTTATTCATCCTTTGAGTTCCTAGTGGAACATAGGGCTTCACTAACACCATGCCACTTCACCCTCATCTCTGCAGTCTTCTCAACCTCGCTCCACAACTACCCACAAGCTTTCATTTATTCCTCACACAATCTCCTCCATGTCACCCTCGCCTCGGACACCCAACTCGTCGTTTCCCATGCGGGTTCCACTCCACTCTACTCCACTCCACGAACTGACCTGACCTGGCGCATGATGTCCCCGAACGGTCTTCTCAGTGTATGTCCAATCCAATCCAATCCAATCCATCTCAACTCTCTTCTTCTGCATATTTGTTGGCCAACGGTTTCTTGCTTCGTTGGTTCGTTGCCAATCAGCCAGCCAACCAGAGTTCCTTGTTGCTTATTCTCTCTGGTCATCTGGTCTTCAGTATTGAGCATAGGCAGCTGTTGATGACGAATGTCTGCAGTATGTTGGAAATGCTTTTCGTAACACGCCAAGTCTCTCAACCACCACATAGAAACGCTGACTGACTTGACTGACATTAGTGTTGAAAATCCCGATGCTATTCACACTTTATGCTGAGTCCAGTGTAGTGTAGTGTAGTGTAGTGCAGTGGAGTAGAGTAGATCTCCACACTGATTATTTCAGATTAATGAAGTAAGGCCTGTCTTGCTGTCTTTCCGATCGTGGCTTTGACGTCCTCAAGTGTGCCGCCACCGCTGCCTGTAGTTGAAACGATGCTGCCTAGGTAGGTAGGTAGGTAGGTAGGTGGGTGATGGTGATTTGTGCCTCTTGTTGTTGTTGTTATTGTTGGTTGGGTGTCTTCATCACCTCTGTCTTCTCTACATTCACTTGAAGTCCCGTCTTCGCTGCCTCGCCTCACCCCACCTCTTCTGTCAACTTGTTAGTTTTCGCCTGTACATCTTCGAGTTTGTGCGACAAGACATTAGACATAAATCATCATCATCATCATCATCGTTGGCGAAATCCCAATCTCCTTTTAAGGTCTTTTCATCGGTCGGGCCAGCGTATGCCCCTCTTCTCACTCCTCACAGTTTGTTGCATGATCCAGTCGAGTAAAGTTCAGTCGAGTCGAACACAATCAGGAAGATGATCGATGATAGTGGACGGCAACCTTGTTTTACCCTTGTCTTTACTTCACAGGCATCACTGAGCTTTGTATTGTCAATCACATAGGATGTAGCACGTACAGCATATAGCTGTTGAATGAGGTTGATAAAGGTTTGTGGCACTAAAACCATAGTGTTGAAGTAGCTGCCAAATTACTTGTCGGTCGACGCTGTCGGAGGTCTTTTCAAAGTCGATGAAGTTGAGGTAGAGAGTCGATTGCCATTCTATGCTCTTTTGTATGATGATGCGTAGCGTCGCGTTACGTCGTAATGTGATCCGCACATAATTTGTTCTTCTTGAAGCTAGCCAGCCTGTTCCGGTCGTAATTTTAAATCCAGATCATTTTTAGTGTCTCCAGGATGATACGGCCTAATATTTAGTTTGGGGCTTACAGGGATGCAGCATGATTCCTCACCAGTTCTTGCAAAGGATTAGATCACCCTTCCTTTGAAGTTTGACATGTTAGCCCTTATTCCAATCTGCAAATACCTTCCCTTCCTTCCAGACCCTCTGCAATAATGGTGTGATCACGTCCGCTGATGTCTCTGCATCTGTTTTCAGTGCTTCTGGCAGAATTTCATCTGGTCCTACTGCTTTCCCGGCTTTCAGGGCTTCTGCTTTTGTTGGAGGGTTTGTATTGACTCAGTGTTCTGTGGCTTGGCTGCTGGTGGTGTTTCTGACCTAGTTGCATGTGATGGTGTTGTTCGACTCAAGAGTTTTTTAAAGTTCCCTTCGTTTCTCCTTTTAAAACGGTAGTTATTTCTAAAATGAAGCATGATTGGTCATGTCAGCAATTGCTAGGGTGATTTTTAGTCACTCATCTTATCCATAGTTGATATTTCAGTGTTTCTATTTAAGGAATGTAATTGGTCTAACCTTACTCCCTATTCCAGATTGTATGATTATCAAAACTAATCACTCATTTATTCGTCCAGCACAATAAAATTAGCATGTTTTGTCACTAAATGTATTGCATTAAAATAAGGTAGGTAGGCAATATTTCAAGAATCTAGACAGCATGAGTTGAATAAAAGACACTACTAATGAACCACTTGAGTAGTTAGAAACCATTCGAGTCGATCTGAAGTATTTCTCCAGATTCGGATGGTTTGAACTAATTCGGTTCTGTGAGCTACTGATGAGGTCGGCCTCAAACGAGTGAAACTGCAATCCAATGTTTAGATCACTTTGATCTGTCTGACTGGCGAAATACTATAGATCAGCTTGACTGACTTCTAAATACTCAAGTTGTTCAGTGGCAGGTAGTATCTTTCGCTAGGACATGGTACTTTTGTATCAGAGATCACACACTGTGATCTCGGCTAAGTGGTTTCCAGTGGGAAAACCGGTTGACACTACAGTTGGGTAGTTAAAAAAAACCACTGCAAATCGATCATTCTATGGTTTGAATGGTTTTAAAGATCACCGTAACAACTGGTCAGGTAACCAAGTACGTTCTTCTGTTGTACAAAGAACTGCCCTCTCAACTGAAATACAGAAATCTGATTGGTTATTTCAGCAGTTGTTACGCTGGCCTTTAAAGGCACCCTATGGTTTAGTCCATATGATAGACGTACATACTCGTTAACATCATTTATTAGTGTGTATTCATGAACTACACAGGGAACAGAAAAGTGGAATAGTTGGGTAAAGATAGGTTTTACAAAAGATAGTGCAATTTAGTCCTCTAATCACTTGTCGACTATTGCTGTAAAGATATGACCGACTGGTTTTTAAGTACTCAAGCTTTAAGTAACATTTCCTAAGTTCAAATCCAAATCTACCTACTTCAGCCTAATCAAACAGGTAGTGTTTTAAAAGTCTTCGTACAATAAGTATGACTTATAATCTAGTACATAACTGTTTGTATCGATTAAAGTTGCGTTGAATATTGTTTTTCAGTCGCGTTCCTGATTGATAGGATTTTGGGAATCTCTAGGACTACTGTAGTTTTCCAAACGTGATATGTAATAGGACTTATAAGAATAGTTACCTTCAAGAATCTAAATGGATGTCTAACGAAGTTCGCAATATAGTCAGCCATTGAATCATTTTTAAAGCTTGAACTATAGTTAGTGATTTGATGAGAAAAGCATTCGACTGTACATAAAATGATCTTAATTATCATCTATATTTGAACACTTCATTCAGTCATTCTTTTCTTTATGAATACTATCATCCCCATAGGAATCGTTTATCTATACTTACGTGTATTCACTATCATTAAATTTGGGCCATACACAGTGTGGGTTCAAACAAATAAATAGCGATAAACATCGCTCCTCAGGTGAACGTATAGAAGAGGTGATGAAGATACCCAACCAACAATAATAACAAAAACAAGAAGCATAAATCACCATCAGCGGAAGAAATCTAAAGGAAGTTATCTCTCTCACCCACCT